TTGGTTCTGGGACAACTGAATCTTAGCTAATGGAGCATAAATTAGAAGGTTGAGTAGAAGTTAAATGGATGAAACATGAGCATGAGGGTAACTTCCAGGAAAAAGAAAAATCTTTCCAGAAGGAGAGATTGGCTTTTTAAAAATTCTCAAGTGAAAAGATACATGATTTCTTTAAAGACCTGGACAAAGGGAGAGTGGCAGCTGATGAAACTGAAGAGGCAGACAAGAGACCAGATCAAGCCAGGCCTTTTGAGTCAGAAGTGGCTGTCCTTCCTGTTCAGGCAAATTGAAGCCATTTAAGTATTTGTGACACAATTAGGTTTATGATTTAAAGGTTCAGCCCTGGCTGGTGTGGCTTAATCCTGTGCACCAAAAGGTTGCCAGTTCCATTACTGGTTGGGTCACATGCCCGGGTTGGCAAGTTCAATCTCCACTAGGGGGTGGGAAGGAAGCAACTGATGTTACTCATGTAGATATTTCTTTCCCTCTCCCTACCTCTCTCTCTCTAAAGTAAATAAAAACATATTTTTAAAAAAACAATAAAGTAAAAAGTTCAGTTATCATTGTAACTTAGTGATTCTTAAGTCTGGCTCATAGAAGAATCATTGGGGTGGTGTGGGGCTCAACACTAAATGCTGCTGCCTGGTTCCTATTTCAGGCATCATCTCTGGGATAGGCCCCCGACGCTGATCATCTTTAAAGCTCACTCCAGATTCTAGGCTTGAGAATCACAGCTATAGGTTATGTAGAGGATGTGGCTGAAAAAGATACAAGCACTCCAAGCTGGCTTCTCAGTATGACTCAAGGTTACTCTCCCCCAAACTCCTATTATCAAGAATTGCATTAATAGAACTATATTTCCTAAATGAGAGAGGGGATTGTTCTTCTGTCCCCCCAGAATTAGACCCAGCACATCTAGAAAGTTTATTCACCTCTTAGCACCAAATTTTACAAGGAAATTAGCTAACCTGAAACATTCCTACAAGAAAGCAAACCAGAGAGTGAAAGGAATCTAGAGACTAATTGCTAGAAAACAAATCAGTTTCACTAAAAAGATGTTGACAGGAAGCCAGGAAGGCTGGTCAACAACCTTAATTGCTCTAACCTTTAGTTGAGATATTGTTAGCTGAAGCAGAATCTATCTTGTTTGTCCTGTGAAAGTTTCTGTTATTTCCTGCCTAAGGGCTACATGTAAATTTCTGTTTATGTTGCCTAGGATGTTTTCCCTAAAGCCTCAATAAAAGGGGATGGCAGGGCCAGAGCAGGGAGTAGTAGTTCTCCCAGTAGAGTTGGACTACCGCCTGGCCCCCCATATCGCCAAGTTGAATTTCTTCAAGTCTCAAATCTCTTCATTTGTGTGCGGCCCTTCTCCAGAACCTGAACCCTAAATTGGAGAACTCTTTCTACGCAGGCCGTGAAAGAGAGTCCTACACCTAATGAAGAGAAATGATTTATTGGATATGTTAAAAACAATAAGTGAAAATATGGCAGGAGGTGAAGCAGACAAAAACCCTTGTCCTCAGGGAGCTCATGTTCTATTTTAGAATGATCCTTAAGGTCAGACATTTTAATGGAACTTTATGATTCACAGCTATAAAATTTGTGTGTGTTATAGAGAGCTATGTTTCAATGATTACCTTTAGAACATCAAAAGTAAGTAGAAATCTTTGAAAAACAACGAAGTTAACATTGATGGAAGAATTCCAGTACAGATAGCCCTCATAGAGAGTATTCAGAGTCCAATGGCAAGGATTAAAGGTGTAGGAAGGAGATTGATGAGTGATCTAGCCCAGTGATGTATAGAGTCCTTTATGACTGAACACCAAATATTACAGTATTAATTAATAGTGGTACTTATATAGTTGGAGCACTTGCTATGTGCTAATCACTTTGCTAAGTGCTTTATTGTGCATAACCTCATATCAAGGCCTATGACACTCAATGCACAGATGAGGAAAAGGAAACAGTATCCAGCCATAATTTTTAAAAGTTAGAAGCATTTACTCCTACATATCTAAAGCGAAAATATGTCAAGATATTATTTGACAAATCAATTGGTGAAGGAATCCATGTGATGGAAAGATTGGTGCCGAGAACATTTGAGGAGCTCCTTGTTTTACTAGTAGGTGCATTAATAAAGGACTGTTGAGCCGAGACCAGTTTGGCTCAGTGGATGGAGCGTCGGCCTGTGGACTGAAAGGTCCCAGGTTCAATTTCGGTCAAGGGCATGTACCTTGGTTGCGGGAACATCCCCGGTGGGGGTGTGCAAGAGGCAGCTGATCGATGGTTCTCTCTCATTGATGTTTCTAACTCTCTATCCCTCTCTCTTTCTCTCTGTAAAGAATCAATAAAATATATTTAAAAAAATAAATAAATAAAGGACTGTTGGCACCAGATTGCTAGATTAGATACAAAACTGGTTAATGTTTTATGGTGCAATGCGCCATCAATGTGGGATTTCTTTTTCTACTGGAGAGAAATAATTTTGTGTCTTTAATAGAAGTCTCCAAGGTAACATGTAACTTGACTAAATCTGGGGTCTTTCTTTATTCACTAGTAAATAGTGAATTAAACAAAGTGCCTTTCCCTTAAGTAATTCTTGAATTGGCATGTTCATTGCCACACATGCCTCTGAAAGAACACGGCAAGCTCTGGGTATTATTTTCAAGTTTTGGATAATTTTTGTTAACATTAGGAGAGTGAATTAACTTTTCAGGACTTTCCAGTTGGTAGTATTGAAGCTGAGTCTCAAAAAGCCACCCTGAATTGATCATGTGATGAGTATTTGGGGAGATACTAGGGGAGCAGCCTTTGTATCACATCATCATTGTCTTGTTTTCTTATGAGTCTGAGCTTGGTTTTTCCAGTTATGTTTGTTTGTGTTTTTAATTCTTACTAAGACATTTGTTACCCATTTAAAATGGACTATTCCTCCTCTTTTATTCCCCCCAAACGTAGCTGGACACATCAAACATGATTAATAAGTTCTTTAACCAGGCACTACTATTGACTCTAAGACCAAGGCTCTGGAACCCCAGATAGAAATACGAGTCTTTAGAATGTGTAGCAGCTATTTTCTCAGTGAGACCTCTTCCCCAGCTTATGTGACTTGTTGATTTTGGAGGTTGCAATTACCAAACGTGGGGATCGCAGTTGTTCATGACCTCCTATTTTTAGAATGGTGACCTTGAGCCCTTCAGGTTTGGAGAGAGATTTTAGTTCTCTACAGTCGGTGCTTTGTTCGGCCTCGTGTATCTGACAGCAGGGATGGTGTCACTCTTTCCCTTCTTTGTGATTTAATCTCGAGGAAAGTGTTATGTTTAGGAAATAAATGAAAAGAGTAGATGTGCACTTGGCTTAAAGTTCCGTGAAGGCATTAGGACACTTGCCTGTGTCCAAGGTGAGAGGCCCCTGTGACTTTAAGGTGGCAGAAGAGTAGCCCATAGGATAGTATATTCTAGAAGCTCTAACGATACATAAGCGTGCAGTTGCAATTTAGCTTTAAGGTAAGAGAAAGCATTTGGCTTTTGTTTCATTAAGAGAAAACTAAACTGAAATTTATTTATAGGTAGTGTAATAAATAATTTATATGGATTATCTCAACATCTTAACAATTCCATGAGTTAGTTCCTATTATTCTCCCCATTTTATGGATGAGGACATTGAGGTACAGAAGGTTAAGCAAGCTGAGTAGGATTCACAGACAGAGCTAAAAGTAGGCCCAGGACAACCCATTAATTACAAGCCTACCCCTGTGAAGGTTACATGATCTTATTTCACCCTCCCCCAAAAGCCGCTAATCTGGCTGAGCCTCCATATCCCTCTGTAACATGAAGGGTAGAAACATTTTCAGTTAGATGGTCTCTGGGGTTCCTTCCAACTCATGAGTTCTCTAATTGCACCCTGACCTTAGAGGTGCTCACGGTACCTTCCCCCACACATATACACTTACACTCACTTCTTCATCCCAAGGCAAAAATCTAACCCTGCCACAAGTACCCATTGCAATTGGATTCTAAACTCAAGACCCCACTGCATCCTATTATCCACAACAGCCCCTCAGGAATACACACTTTTACAATCTGGGCATCCCAGTCTGTAAAATAAGTTGTTAATGGGGTGTACTTTCAGGAAGTAAAATATTAATACCGAAAGGAAAAAGAAGAAACTCAAAACAGATGAGGCTCTTTCCTTTACATCATCTCTATTCTACAGTGTTATCTTGACAACTTAGCTTCGGCTGTTTAGATATTGGGTTTTCAGAGTGGAAAAGGAGAAGAGGGGGTGTCTGTTCTCTTCGTACCTTTAGAGATTTCCTCCTGTTTTATGGAAAAACAAATGTCAAAGGTAGGCCACAAAGTCCCATGGAATGTACACAGGACATCCTGGTGAGGGTCATCCAGAACTAATCGCAGGTGCACAGAATGAGGACACATTCTGATGAAAGGTACACTCTTTTCTCTTTTCTGTTTCCTGTCATCGTAACACACAGCAACAGCCTGGGAAACGTTAGTTACATTTTTGGACCAGCACAGACACAGAGCAGAAAGCAGCCAAAGAGCCTGAAAAACAATTGCATTATTTTTAGGTGCAGAGGTCGTACATGCACACACCAGGGTGAGGGTGCAACTGTCAATTGCTGAGCCAGTCTGGAAGCCCTAAAAATATTATTCCCTCCATCCTGTGGCATCATGAGTGAAGACTGAGGCAACATAGGGTGGAGTTCACATTAGACTTTGTGCCTCTTAGCTCTTATAGGCTTGTTGTCAGGACCAGCAAGGACTCAAGGGGCTAAATGGGGAGTGAGGGGGAGGGTGTCAGAAAAGGTGAATGGAAGGAGCAAGTACCACAGGGGAGATGTTGAGCAGAAGAAAGAGGTGTCTCCAGCATCCAGCCCCACTGAGCAGAGCCTGCGTGGAGAATGGCTGAGAAATCCCAGCTGGTTCTAGAAGCAGGTCTCCTGGTGGCTGTGACCGTGAGCCCAGCAGATGCCATGGGCGCTGCTGCAGGGGAGCCGGGCCGGGCTGGACACATGTTTCCCATTGATAGCTGGAGACAGCCCAGTAGCTCCGCGTTGGCCTGACAAAGCCGTATTGAAGTGCAGACAGAGTACAGTTTCAAAGCAGGCAGCAAGAGAACGGGAATGCTGTTCAGGAAATTCTTCAGGCATGGGCAGGGCCTTGGCTGCAGTTCCACAGTTGGAAAATCTGACTGGGGCAGCTTCTGAACACGGGCTGGGCCTGCTCGCACTCGGCAGGCCCCAGCCGTCTCCGTCACAGCCTCTCAGCACACTCCGGACCGAGGGCCATTTCACAGCTGCCCGGGAAGCAGACAAGAGAGGTAGGGGGCTGCGGGGTGCGTGCATGTCCATGCCTCTCTCCACTTTCTAAGCCTGCTGTTTGTTTGCAAGGACTCTGACTTCCCAGGGGGCATGCGTGTGAGTGTGTGTGTGTGTGTGTGTGTGTGTGTGTGTGTGTGTTAGAACTCCATCACTTAAACATGTGGCGTGGACTTGGAATCTTTTCTTTCCCCACTTCCTTCAAGATCTGACTTTCAGCAGCACTGAGACACTTCAGAAAGCGGGGGTGGGGTTAGCTGGCAACTCAGTGTGCAAAAAGAAAAGTATGTGATGTGTGTATTGTCACCCGGCTCCAGCCTTCTGGAACTTCGCTGTGTGGAAGGACAGTTCATTGGCAGGAACGATCATTTTAAATGAAATTGTCTGTGTGCTTTGCTTCATGAGAGTTTTCAGAGGAGTGTGTTGTAGCAGAAAATGGCTCTCCTTTCGGGAGGGGAGTAGGGTTTGAAGTTTCTATTTTGGATGACACTTGCAGAGTGCAGGAGCAGATGTGTGTGTGCCTGTGCGTTCCTGCCGTCTTTTTATTATTAGATGAAGTTTTGACAATCATTGAAGGAGCCCATTGATAGATTTGCCTAGAAATATACTGGATCAACATTTGTATTTATTTGTATAATAATTTTTTTTTTTTTACTTTTTCTGAGTTGAAAAAGTAACTGGCAGTTTTACTCTCAAAAATACTTTTGTATTTTCTGAAATATTTAGATCACTAAAGAGTAACAGAAAACAGTCATTTACTCAAAATCACTGTTAAAAAATGGAGACATAATGGTGTGGGTTTTATTTTAATGATCAATTGATTTTCTTTTACACCTTACTAAAGAGTGCCTTTTAAAAAAAAATCAAATTTTAAATAATCTTTGTGACACCTATCAGCTATAATGCAATGTAGGTGTTGACTCTCTTCGGAAAGCTATAGCTTATTCTGTGCTTCACAGTTATAAAATATGCAAAATAATGCAATTGTGTCTAAGAAACTGGTCCAGCTCAGAAAGAGGTCGACTAAATTTCACTACAGAGTTGTGATTCCTGGCAGGGCAACCTGTGACAGCAATGGTGTTTTCCAACGGGGGTTTGGCCAAGAGTCCGGTTGGGAAAAGAGATGAATGAATGGATTCTTGGATACTTCTTGAATAGCAGAAGGTTAGTAGCTAGGCCAATTAGGGTGGGCCTCTATAAAAACAGGTGTGTGTTTACTTTAGTTCTAAAATCTCTCAACAAGTAGCTAATAGTACAAAATAAGGTTAATGGATAAACGAAGAGAGTGTGTGTGTGTGTGTGTGTGTGTGTACACAGGATGAATGGACAGACACTGTGTCCTATTGATGGAACTTAATTTTCAGCCAGCAATTTTATTTTCTCCACGGTTTTGCACTTGGAGGAGGGAATGGGACAGCAGAATTTTTGAGCCTAAAGATGGTGCATAGCTGTTTTCTTCATCAGCCTCCTCCTTGGGTTGGGTTGGGCTGGGTTGGGCTGGGTTGGGAAGGGAAGGGCTTGGGAACTGCAGGACGCAGAACAAGAAAGGCATGCTTTTAGAAGTCAGGAGAGACAGTGACTACACTGTGTTTTTCTCAAGTGCCTACTGGGCGAGCAAAATGCCAAGACAGATTAGGAACCCACGTGAACCCTGGCCTAGCCCACTGCCAGCGCAGAAGGAACCTCCATGAGTTCTAATGTCAGACTCTAAATTTATTTAGTGCTCCTCACGCCCCGCACAGAATAGGCAACTCCATGTAGCAGGATTACGAGCAGCCATGCCTAAAACTTGGAAGAACCTTTATAGTTTCCCTTTTTGGCAATATAGGAGGAAAATAAGAGAGGCTCTCCTTGAACAGAGATCACCGGAGTGGAGGGTAGGGAAGAAATCCAGGGCAGAGGTGTGGGCAGCGGGGACACAGGAGTGGCCACACCACACACTGGGCAGTGAGGACAGAGGGAGGAGATCTGTGCAAAGGAAGGAAACACATTCTAGAAACAGCGCAGAGCAGTAGGCACTGATTTGTTTGACTGGACGTGTGTGGATAAACCATGGCCTCTGAGGAAAAAGGTTTTACCCTCTTCATAGGAGGCCCCCTGGTCAGTCTGCCCTGCTCTGCCTTCTGGAAGTAATCAGAAAGCACATTTTGTAAGATTGGCATCATCTGAGGGGTCAGATTTCCTAAGCAGGGAGGGACCAGGCTTTTAAGACCTTATTTTTAACCCGCATTTGTTCCATCGGTGATATTCCTGTGGGGGTGGGGGTATCACGTGAAGGGACCCTCTGGATTTGGGTGAATGATCACAGTGGACAAAGCTGGTTCCAGGCCCTGCTCCTGGACACTTGAGTATGAAGACAAACCTCAGAGAGGGAGTACAAAATGTTGTGTATGTCTTATGCTAGTGAATTAACTCAATTTTTTTATTTTCTTTTAAAAACCACTTCCAATGGCATGTTCCATGTTGTTGATGAAATTGTTTAATATTTGTTTCATAATTTCATAATATAAGGAAGTCCTTAGAATCGTGGATTTTGCCATCGGAGAGAAATTTGGCTACTCTGTATTCAGAATTTCTTGAGTTTGAGTAATATAGTGACTCCTTTTAACAGGACTGGAAAAAAAGATCTGTCCCTCCATTGCTGATTCATTCATTTCTGTTATACTGTGATTTGTTTATACAATTTTCTTGTTCATAGAATTTATTGGGGTGACATTGATTGATAAAATCATATAGATGTCAGTTGTAAATTCCATAATAAATCAACTGCGTACGGAATTGTGCATTTACCACCCCAAGTCAAGTCTCCTTCCATCACTATTTATCCCCACTCTACTCTCTTCTATCTCTCCCCCTCCCTCTTCCCCTCTGGAAATCCTCATGCTGTTGTCTGGGTCTATGAGGTTTTTGTTTGTTTTCTTAATCATTTTACCTTTCTCACACAGCCCTGCCACTACCTTCCCTCTGATAGCTGTCAGTCTGTTTCTATTTGGTTTATTTTGTTCATTAGATTCCATATATAAGTGAAATCATCGGTACTTGTCTTTCTCTGACTGTATTATTTCACTGAGCATAATGCTTTTTGGGCCCATCTATGCTGTTGCAGAGGGTTTTTTTTTTTGTTTGTTTGTTTGTTTGTTTTTATCTACTCATCTATTGATGGACACATGGGCTTCTTCCAAACCTTGGCTATTGTAATAATGTTGCAGTGAAATAGAGGTGCATATATTCTTTCAAATCAGTGTTTCGTATTTCTTTGGTTATATTCCCAAAAGTGGAATCACTGGGTCATAAGGCAGTTTTATTTTTAATTATTTTAGGTAACTCCACAGTAGCTGCACAAATCTGTATTCTTACCAGCAGGGCATGAGGGTTCCCTTTTTCCACATCCTCACCTACACTTGTTTATTGATTTATTGATGATAGTCATTCTGACAGGTGTGCAGTGATATTTCATTGTGGCTTTAATTTACAAGTCTCTGATGATTAGTGATGTTGAGAATTTTTCCATATGTCTATTGGCCATTTTTATATCTTTTAAAAATATTATTTATTTACTTCAGAGAGGAAGGGAGAGGGAGGGAGGGAGGGAGGGAGGGAGGGAGGGAGAGAGAGAGAGAGAGAGAGATATCAATGATGAGAGAGAATCATTGATTGGCTGCCTCCTACCACTCTGGGGACTGAGCCCCATGTTACATGTGTTGGCTCAGTAATAGCTGGCACCATGCTAGAGGAGGTAGCATGGCAATGGAATCATACTGTTAGAAGGGCCCTTGGGAATTACCTGGTTCCATGGTTTCTCAAATCTTCTTAAATCAGATTTTCTGAGATTAGAGTAGGGGAATCCCTCTATTTTTAAAAGCTCTCTGAGAGATTCTGTTGAAGCCAGCCAGACACTGGTCCATAGAACTGAGTTTGTTTAACACTGTCATGACTAGACTATTATAGACTGCATGGGTGCCATTTATAGCATTGCTAACAGATGCCAGCCAGATGTGGTGATGGAGACCCTCCCTGCCCTGGGGGGAAGCTTGGAGTGTTATTTCTCAAGTCAAGCCTCCTCAGATTGGGCAAAATTTGTATCTCTATACTTTCTTTGTAACCCATAGCCATTGTCATAGTAGCTTAAGCCACATTTGAGGGTGTAGTGGTAGTTGGTGCAGAAGTGAGGTGAAGGGAAGGAAATATAGGTAGAAGTAATTAGGAATGCTGGGATGCATCCTTAATCTACTGAAAGCTGAATCTCAGTTTGCCCATCTGTGAAATGGGATCAGATGCCTCGTAAGTGTTTTCTAGTTATTACAATACATGATTTTTATAATTCTAAGGCTCTTCCATTTCTTTTTTAAAAATATATATTTATTTCAGAGAGAAAGCCAGAGGGAAAGGAATAGGAACATAGAAACATCAATGATGAGAGGGAATCATTGATTAGCTGCCTTCTGCCCCCACTCTCAACTGGGAAAGGAGTTCACAACCCAAGCATATGTCCTAACAGAGAATTGAACTGTGACCTCCTGGGTCAACACTCAACTACCGAGCCACACAGGCCAGAAAAGCTCTTCCATTTCTTTATGAATGCCTTAGTCTTTCTTTCCCAAAGCTGGGCATCTTGAATTATTTTATCTACCCTCATCCCTTTCTGTGCTATTCTCTTTCTTTTTCTCTGAACACATTCTAGTTAACCTCCTCCTGAGAAAAATGTAGTTCTCTAAACTCAATTCCAGTCATCTGACCAGTCCTTGTTTCACTAAGAAGTCAACATACATCTGTTAACCTAAGGCACATGTGTCAAACACAAGGCCCGTGGGCCAAATCCGTCCCGCCAGGCCTTGCAATATGGCCCGCACCGCGCTGTCATCACTGCACTCCGCTGCGTTTCCATCACAATGACAGTTTATGACTGTTCAGTAAACCATTCGGCCCACGATTTAGGCTGGATTTTAGATTTTGGCCCCTTCTCTGATTGAGTTCGACACCCCTAAAAGGGGAAGAGGACGAT